GTCAGGATAGGGGCTAAACGGGAAATCTTGGGTTGTCAAACATTCTGAAACATCACCTCAAGTGTTATTCTATTTAATGAGTCACATGATCGACCCGCAACCACAGCAGCTATAACCAATACAGGCTGTTGTGTGGTTTAGTTGAGTGCTGTCTATTGCATGGAGTTGGAAGTAAAGACTTCATTGCATAGTAGTGACATGACAGATATCAAATCTAAAATAATACCCTATTGTTTTGCAGTATCACTTTATGGGTATTGGTACTGGTTGTACTTGTATCATAATTTCTTTAATCACCCAGTCCCACATTACCGTAACATCTCTGGTACACTCGCCATCATTTCCTGTTTGCATGAATACTATCTGCTACCCTGCTGTAGCAATGTCGCTGTGTTCTGTATGTGCTTTTGCAAGTCACCATCAAAACGATGAATAATGAGTATGCATAATTTTGAACTGTCTGCAGAAAATTATTAATTTAGGCTTACCTCCATAGTTGGACCAGGCATAGGTGACATTCAGCATTGACAGAGCCACTTACACTGATGTATTATGTATGCCTTGTATGGCACTGTAACGCTCAACGCATAAAACACATGTTCATTGCGGTCATCATGCAAGTGACAATATGAATATTTCACACTACGTCAAAGTAATGATGACAGGGACTGTATTAAGTCCATGCTTTGCAGTTTAGTACAGCTATCCACATGGCTCTAACTGTGCTGTGTGCCTCAGCACCTTAGAGGGAAACATTTTAGCGGGGCAGCTCTGGCCGCAGGTGAAGTCTTATCACGCTCATGGAGGGGAACACTTAAACAGGCCATTGCATGATCTCTTTCTCAGCAAAGCTATTACAAGGTTCAGTGAGTCCAAGCACAGCATCACGGCGGTGTATATACAGTAAATGCAAGTGTGTGCGAGTGCAGTTTTGCTCCAATTGTGTGTGTGTTTATCTGTGCAGAGTTCAGTGTTTCTGTCAGCATAACCTTTTCTGCAAGCTTCCATTATGTTGAATTTGCTAACCACTCAGCTTGGTACTTCATGGGATTCGTAACATTTTCCTTATCCCCAATCCTCTTTCATTGCCCGTTCTAAATCCTGGGTGCATGTATGAGTTGACATCAGGGAGTATCTTCCCAAATGTGGCAAAAGGCTAAGATAATCTCTTAGGAAGGAGGCTTCGGAAAACTTCAGATGATCCCATGGAGCAGTGAAATGTCACACGTAGGAACATCCATCCATCCTTCTCCCGCTTAGTAGGAACATATTTTAAGAAATTGTGCACAGGATTGAAGAGACGTTGTGGTATCTGTTCAATGTCAGGGGAAAATACCTTATATGATCTATTCTATTTGATAGATATGCCTGCAAAGGAACTGACAGCTGAACTATTGTAAGACCTAATATATCTCTCTTTTGTGTCTATAATAAACTGTAGTGCTACAGAGACTGTTCTTCCCTCCTTCGTCTCTTTCTCTTTTCATTTCTGTCTTTCTCGCAGAAAAAGAAAGATACACAGTCTGCATAGAAGAGGAGACCTATTTTAAGACCAGTGTGTAATTAATCATAAGCTAGCAGCATGCATTAAGAGAGGAGGAAATGTATGATAGCCCCCTCTGTGACTTTCTGTCCCTCCCTTTTCTCTCGCTTATACTTGTGCTACTCTATACTACATTTTAAATGTGTCTCCCTGCCTAATACCAGGGTCTCTCTGTTCTTCCTCCCTCCTCTCTGTCGCATTTTTTATCTGTTCTTCACTTGCATATTCATTTTTTGTTTCACATCTTTGCACACACACGCACCCTCCTAATTATGAAAACGCAAAATGTCATCTAATGCCCTGACGGGAATATTTAAACACTAAAGCGCTGCATGTTCAGGGCTGATTCGAGCGTGTGTTGATCCATTCATGCATTACGTTTCTGTCTACTGTACATGTGATGACACCACTAAGATTGCAGGCTCATGTTTGTGGGCAGATGGTGAAGAAACACAGTCTCATTTGTGTGTAATAAGTCGTAACTAATTGTCTGCAGAGTGGATCAATGTGCTATTCTGCTGCAGCGCCACTCTCAGTCTGTATAACCACAGACAGCACAGCCACAATTTATCAGCGCTAGCAAATTCTACTGGAGGAAAAGTCCTTTTCATCTCTTTAGTAGGGCAATTTACTGGAACTGTTTAACTTATATAAATAAATTGTTTATGTTGTTAAGGAAGTGGACCAATAGAAATAGACCTAAAGGATTAGATGGCGTTAAACACATGCATGCCCACACACAAGTAAACACAGTTGTCACACACTAGCTATGCTCTAATGGTCCTATCAGATGGTGATGCCATCCACTTAAATCCTAAGGAGCTTATTGATTATGTTTTAAGATATGTCACTCTCATTTTTCACGTCGACAAACTATAAAGCATTAAGCCCTAGCTGCAGTATTACCCTCTGTGGTGTGACTGACTCGCAGTGGTCTTAAGAAGTTTGGCCTTTTCGCTGCTGAAGCCCCCCTCACTAAGGCGACTTGATGACCCGCCCTCAGCTGTCAGTCACACTGTGTGCATCACTGCAGCAGATACATATCCACCTGTGCTGTGACAGAGCTGAAATGTAAAACCGAAACTGCAAGCAGAGATACCCACATGTCAGACTTAGTGTGCGAATATTATCTCAACATTAATGTCCACCTGATGGATGGCCCTAACATGTTCTATCCCCAGAGGATGAATACTTCAGACTTATTTTACTTTCAGGGCCACTTTTTTTGAGTAAAATATGTCATAGTTTTAAATCTATTGTTTAAGAAAATACTTAAAACTCAGACAATTAATTATGAATAATCAAAATGTAGTCTATTTCTGGTTTAGAAACAGCAGTAATGTTAAACCTTTTATCTAGTTCCCCCTTTTCCTACATCATTGCTTGCATTAAATATACTCATGCCTAATTTCTAGAATGATATTCTGTATTTTAGGCTTATAATGTATTAAATGCCACACACAAACACAATCATATACTATTTAAATGCCATTAAATGTCACCTGATGATGGCAATTTTGCGAGTTTGTGTCACAAAGACATTACATTTCACAGTGGATTAGAGAAAGCGATCGCATGAAATTGAAGGTACTGTGAGCCATTTCTGTGTAAACGTGAAGCCACCTTGAAAAGCTTATTTTACAAAATGGTTGCATTTTGACATTTTGAAATATGTCATCGAGAGTGAGCGTAGGCCAACTCTGACTCACAATAGGTTTTCATATCACATCACTTAACTGAACAGTTGCTGTTGTCAGCAGCAGAGTAAAGTAGATTCAGGTTCACGCTCATAAACTCCCACATTCCCCTATTTTCCCTCATGAAAACACACCGAAGGAGCTGTCGGTGACATGCTTTCATCCTGCCTGCTTGATGCATGGACTGAATATGGCACATTGTTGGGTTGTTAACATGTAGCAACAGCAAACTAATCATTTAAGCATGAAAGCTAGCAATCTGAAGCAACGATATTAGTCTTTTTTTTATATTTTCTACACTGCTGGAAACAGATTAACATTTGGATTTATCGTTGTTTACAGTGTTGGGCAAACTACTTTTAAATGTTAGATATTGAAATGATAAATTACTCTCTTGATGGATGGACGGATTGATAGATGGATGGATGGATAATGACTCAAGCAGCTTCTTTCCTTCACCTATTTTCTCCATTTCCCCCCCTCCATTACCTTCCATTTTGAAACCCAACCAGGCAGATACATTGAACATATCTTGTGTGTCATTCACTGCTCAGCACTTTTTTACCATCTCCATGATTACCCTTTAAGTTATGATGTTCTCAAATCACACACGGGGTGTTTTTCTTTCTCCTTTCTGCTGTTGATTTTAGAAAAGAGCCTGTCTCTAATGACTTTTCTCATTCAGCGAATCCCTTTTACAGTATGTCATTTCAAAGGCAGCCTTTCCATCTCCCCAGCCCTGTATATCACCAGCTGCCTCTCTGCAGCGGTGGGAGTCTATCACTCCGTTTCACAGGAAATTGAGCACACACCCACGTCAATGTATTTCTCTCCAGCGTTGCAATGAGTCAGGGTCACACAGACATCCACAATTGTACACACATATGATTGCAAATGTACACACATGCATAAACAATGTACAAGTAGAAATGTTCCCAGACTTTCAGGGGAACTGCACTCTGTGTTCTGCAAAGCATCCCTCTGCTCATACATCATTACGTGAGTCTGGGTGTTATTATGGAGAAGATGCAGTGTATTAGATGGCCTGGCACATTGTGTCAGGGGCTGCAATCCTATCAGGATGGATAATAAAAGGACACTTAATCTAGCCAGTTCCCTACAGTCCTTTTTGCTCACAGAATAGAAATTCCTGACGTCCGCTCTGCGGTCTAACCGTCCTTGTCAAATTCTCTTCCTCCCTCCATCCCATCCTAAAATATAAGAGCAATAATTACGACTTAATCTCCTCAATCTCCACCTTCATCCTGCAAAATGTTTCCCACCAAGACATAGAGTTATAGCCCAGCAACATAAAATCTGTTTATTACCTCTTTTGCAACGCTGTTATGTGCCATAAAAATAGATGCCTATGCCAGTATGCACGGCTGGGTGATGACTAGCTAGTTTATGAGGGTCTTGGCTCATCGGGGGACCTGGGATGAGAGGCTGGAGGTTGTCGAGTCAGCACCCTGTCCTTCACCTGGCGAGCATCCGTCATGATAAACTGGCACAACATACGTAAAAACATCCAATATGTCACCTTTTAGAAAGTCATGGAGTTCCGGACGTGTCTCTACGTAATGTCTGCCCACTCTACTCTTTTTCTGTTCGAGGATGAGCTCAGTCAGGATATTGAAGAGCATAATGCTGGCTCACTGCCTGTCATAGTTTGTCAACATTTGAGGCACTTTGGTAATGCTCTTTCCCTGTACGAAATCAATTATAAATTCACATTTGTCCCACTCTGTCTGTCTTTACAGTGGAGAATAACCCATGCCAGACCAACCCGTGCCTCCATGGAGGGAGCTGCCTGCAGGAGGGGGATGGCTATAGCTGCTACTGTCCTCAGGGCTTCTCTGGAGAGAGCTGCGAGATTGGTGAGTCACTGCGGGGTCGGGGCTGAGCGGGGAGAGGTCAGAGGTCAGCAGCTGAACACAGATGCTGTGTCGCTGTGGAATAAGGGTAAGCGAGACATGCATACTGTATGTTGGCATAACATTTACCAGATGTACTCGACTGTGCAGTGAATTCTAGAGAAAGCAACAACTAGTTCCCTTTGTGGGTTTTCTTTCCTTGTTTGTGCTGGTAGGACTCTGTATTCAATGCTCTCAAAGCCAAGATGAGTTTTCCTGTCAGGCCCAGTAGTTTTGGTTGAAGCTCCCCGACTGAAAGTGAACTGGGAATATCCGTAAGCGTCAAGTCAGCCAGTTGTGACAGAGGTTACTGAATCCTTGTTATATGTGCTCAGCTGTGTGTGTGTGTGTGTGTGTGTGTGTGTGTGTGTGTGTGTGTGTGTGTGTGTGTGTGTGTGTGTGTGTGTGTGTGTGTGTGTGTGTGTGTGTGTGTGTGTGTGTGTGTGTGTGTGTGTGTGTGTGTGTGTGTGTGTGTGTGTGTGTGTGTGTGTGTGTGTGTGTGTGTGTGTGTGTGTGTGTGTGTGTGTGTTTTCCCCTTCTGCCCCAGGAGTAGTTGGCAGCTCATCTTTCCTCTCAGCTGTGTGAAGGGAGATTGCGGCTGTCAGAAAATGGCTGTGCACTGTTTTTGTTGCGTGTGTATGTGGCAAAGAGACGCAAGGACACATTGGCCACAAAGGAGCCATGATCAGGATCAGTGAAGGATGTAGCCGCTGATTAAAGTGCTGAAGAAAAACTGTAAAATAAAGTAGGTGTGGCATTTACAGAACATATCAAAGTGACTTTCTTAGTTACGAGACATAAACCCTAGGAGTAGGTTGTCATTGAGCTGTAACACATCGCAGTTGGTTCAAAGTTGTTGTTGTTGTTGACGGCGTTCAGTCTGGAACATTGATTCGTTGTCCAGGCCAAAGAACCATGGGTTGAATTGAAGTAAATATTAGATGACGTGCTCAAGTGACCCTCTTTTGTGGTGTAATTTGGAACCATTGGAACTGTAGTCTCACATTTTTGTCTTTCAAAGCTTCTCTTCGGCAGTTGTCTTTTTTCCAAAGCTTGTTTTGAGCACTGAGCTCAATCTGCTCTATCTAAGGCCTTGCAGAAAATCAAAGGCCATTCCTGTTTTAAATGTGAACTGTTATTATACAGATGCACCATCAGCATTCCATATCCTGGATGTCCTGAAATAAAAATGACCAGAATAAATGTTATACCTTTTGCTAGTCCTGACTTCTCGAACTCTGAGAGATCCATATTCATGTGTAGGCAGAACAAAGGCCAAGCTGAGGTTTTAAGGGTCAATGCTTTTGGAGAAAGGTCATAGATCAGGGGTCATATGGGACATTTTGTCCTGGGTCTGATTATCAATAACCTTCAATTATTTTTAGCAAATAGTACATATTATGCAGCATTAAGGTGTGCCTGTGCATTTAAACCATTGGAGATCAATCAACAATCTGCCAGTGGATCAATAACTTGTGACAAATGTATGTAAACTGCATCAATTACACACACATGTAGTTTCTAATGAATCACTGCAGTCAATGTGGTTTAGGTTTGTTATTGAGACCTAATGCGATGAGAATAAATTAGGACATTTAAGCCTTACATAACGTCCACAAGGTTCCGTTGCGTGCTTCAACTGAGACCCTTCCCATTTACTTTGAATGGGGTGACGTCAAGCTTTGTCGAACTGCATTGTGGTTCCCGTCGCGTCGCTTTGCCTCCGTTGCTCGCTTCGAAAGTTGAGAAAAGTTCAACTTTTCAAGCGGCGACGGAAGCGCCAGCCAATCAAATCATATGCCAGTACAAGCTCTAGCCAATCAAACCGCGTGCTTGTGTGTCCGGGGCGGGAGATGAATGTGATTGGTTGTTAGTCGTGCGCCAGACACGCCCACCGGCAAGCTTACGAACCGTGTGGACGTACCGTTATGTCGGGAGGAAAGCACATTCATAAAATATTTGTTATTTACTCATTACTTGATCGTAGCTTGATCATATAGCCTACTGATTTCCAAGATGGCGCCGGGTTGTCTGGCAGGCCGTCCAAGCATCTCTGTTTTAGTACTAGTGTTTGTTCTGTGTCTGTTTGCTCAGTGACAAGGACCATAGACTCTCTGTTAGTATACAACCGACACGAGCTGCTTAAGATCGATGAAAATGTGGGCTTTTTTGCGAAGTTTGGCCAGGGTGGACACACCCCCCCTCCCCCCTCCCCCCCTTCTATCGGATGTACCTGCACACCTACTGCGGGCCGGGCCCTCGTTACCCCGAAGACGCAGACGCCGAGGCACACGCAGTGGCCGGCTGGTTAGGGTGAAAGAGTGGCTAGCGTGGTCTCCTGAGCTGGCTCAGCACCCTTTTCCCCCGGAATATGGACCTTGTTTTCGCCGCCTGGCCTCCCCGACGCCCCCTTGCCATGGTCGGCACCTGGCTGGTACCTGTCGCTGACCCGACTCAAGATCTGCATATCCTGCGCCCCCAGTGGTCTCGCCTCTCCCCCCCGCTGTAGTGAACCGCCGCAACCTTCGGTCGCTGGGTCGTGAAACTCACGCGACTGTTGCCCCGGTTCCAACTAAAGGCTCGCTGATAAACGCGAGATCGATCGCAAACAAAACTTCATCATCCAGGACTTCTTCACGTCACATGCTGTGGATGTGCTTTTTATAATGGAAACCTGGATATCTGCGGGTGAGTCTGCTGCTTTTACAGAGCTATTGCCTCCGGAGTGCAGTTTCATTAATTCTCCACGGGTCGTGGAGGAGGTATAGCGACTGTCTTTAGGAGCAGTTTATACTGCAAACCCACGCCGTCTATCTCATTCTCCTCCTTTGAACTGAGCCTGTTTGAGCTGGGACGGATTAATCCTGTACTGTGTGCGGTGGTCTACCGACCGCCCAAGTACAACAAATACTTTATAAAGGAGTTCTCTGAACTATTGGCCGGTATCGTGACAAACTATGACAGCGTTTTAATTGTCGGGGATTTTAATGTGCATGTCTGTTGTATCTCGAAACCACTAGCTAAAGACTTTCTTGATGTTTTATATGCTTTTGACTTCATACAACATATCTCTGGCCCCACGCAAGAGCATGGGCACACATTAGACCTTGTCTTATCCCATGGTCTGCCCATTTCAAATGTCAATGTGTGTGAGGCAGCTTTATCGGATCACCTGCCTGTGCTATTTGATTTTATTCTGCCCTGTCATAGTCTTAAATCATGCGCTCCTGTCCGTCACGGTCGTATGATGAAACCTTCCACTGCTGCTAGTTTTCTCTCCTGCCTTTGTTAAATTAACACAGTCTGATAATATGTCCGCTGACTCCATGGACACTGAGCTATTAACCTCAGCCTTTCTCTCTTCCTGCACTGGAGCTCTTGACATTGTTGCTCCCCTGAAACTCATGCGCCCCAAAGTTAAATCTGAACCCTGGCTCAATGACGTCACTCGTGCTGCCAGGCGTGAGTGCCGGCAGGCTGAACGCAGGTGGAAGAAGGACAAGCTTCATGTAACTCGTGACATTTTGAAAGAGAGTTGGAGAAAGTATCAGAGCACTGTAAAAGCTGAAAAGATTAGTTACTTTTCTGATATTATTTCTAGTAATTTAAACAAACCTCGTGTTCTCTTTAAAATAATCGATGCTATGTTAAACTCTCCTTTATCCACTTGTATTGATGCTTCAACTGAGATGTGTGAAAAATTCCTCTGCTATTTTATAGACAAGATCTCCACTATTAGAGCCAGTATCTCACCACCCTCTTTTGACCCCTCCATTGACTTCACATGCACTGCTGTCTTCCAGCAGTTTGGACCTGTGTCGTTGTCATCTCTCAGTGACATTGTTGCTAAATTAAAACCCTCATCTTGTCCCACAGACCCAGTCCCTCCTCGACTTTTTAAAGAGGTATGGGACACTATTGGACCTAATGTCCATAACATTATAAATAGCAGCCTAGAGTCCGGTTCTGTGCCAGTTTATTTCAAACAAGCTGTTTGAAATACCCCTGATAAAGAAAACTAATCTGGACACTTCTGTCTTCTCAAATTACAGACCCCATCTCGAAGCTTCCTTTTATTTCAAAGATATTGGAGAAAACCGTACTCTTACAGCTGCAGTCTTTTATACATGCACACAATATTTTCGATATTTTTCAATCCGGTTTTAAAGCGCTTCACAGTACTGAGTCTGCCCTTCTAAGAGTATTCAATGACCTCCTGGTCACTACAGACCCTGGTGACTCTGCCATCCTTATGCTCTTAGACCTCACAGCTGCCTTTGATATGATTGACCACTCCATCCTTATCTCTCGTCTAGAGCACAGTGTGGGTATCAGGGGCACTGCCTTAGAGTGGTTAAGGTCCTATCTGTCCAAGAGATCTTTCTCTGTTACGCTTGGTGACTTTACATCCTCTTCTGCCCCCTTATCCTGTGGAGTTCCCCAAGGTTCTATTTTGGGGCCTATTTTATTTTCCTTATACCTTCTCCCCCTTGGACTGATTTTTAGAAAATATGGCGTCTCCTACCACCTTTATGCGGACGACTCCCAATTATATCTACCCCTAAGAAAAAACACTAGCTCTCTGATGCCCCTGGTTGACTGTCTTAATGACATAAAGGCCTGGATGGCGCTAAACTTTTTAAATATAAATGAGAGCAAAACGGAGGTAATTGTGTTTGGACCAAATGGTGATGTCCCTTCCATTGACCTGGGTTCCCTGCAACAGTTTGCAAAACCCATGGTCACAAATCTGGGTGTCAAAATCGACAGCTTTTAAATTAGATAAACAAATAAACTCTGTGGTTAAATCCAGTTTTGATCACTTGAGGCTCCTGTCCAAAATTAAACCGGTTTTATCCTTTTTAAACTTTGAGCGTGTAATTCATGCCTTTGTTTCAACTCGTTTAGATTATTGTAATGCACTTTATGCCGGCCTAAATAAGATTTTGCTGGCCCGCCTGCAG